GCCCGGGAGCCGCCGCGCCGCCGCCGCCGCCGGGGCTCTGTCGCTGCCGCCTGGGTCCCCGGCCGCCGCGCGCCCGGGCGCAGGGGCGGGAAGCATGTCGGAGGTGCTGCCGTACAGCGAGGAGAAGATCGGGCCCTACGGCGACGGCGCGGACGTGGGGCAGCTCTCCTTCACCTGCCGCCTGCAGGACACCAACAACTTCTACGCGGGGGGGCCGAGCAAGCGGCCCCCCAAGCTGGGGCAGATCGGGCGGAGCAAGTGCGGTAAGCGGGCGGGCGGGGGGCGCGGGTGCTGGGGGCATCGGCCGGGGGCGAGGGGCCCGCGGGGGCTAGGGGGGCGAGCGAGGCGTGCGATCCGAAGGGCCCAAGCGCCCCACTTCCGCGCCGCCCGGGGGGCTGGTGGGCATTTTCTCCCCGCGCCGCGCGGCTGTTGCGGGGGCACAGCCGCCGCCAACCTTTCCTGGAGGGGCTGCGCGAGGGGCAGCCCTCCCCGCCCCATCTTCCTGAAATACTTAGAATTACGCTGAATTCCCCGGACTCGCTCATCTCGCACGGGCCCCTTCCCCGCGTGCATGCGTACAGAGAAGGGAGCTGCGCTGCCTCCACGGGGACTAGTGTCTTGGTAAGCCTGCCGCGGAAAATACAGCCCGAGGGAGTCCGAGAGATCCTGCGCTCCTACCCTCTGCCCACCAAGTATTAGGATCCCCTCCCCAACACACACAGGCACTCGCGGGCAGATGCCCGTTTTCCCTTTCTCCCAAAACCGCCTCTTTGCCCCATGGCTGGAGTGGAAACCGTTTGTGACTATTAACGATGATGATGATGATGATGAGGCCAGGAAATGCCAGAACACTGAGCCCTGCATTCCACGCAGCCATGTTTTTGTCCTGTTCCATCCCGCAGACAGACACTTTTTCCTGTCCTCCTGCCCCGCAACATCCATGGAGCTGTCCATTCGCAGGCACACCTGCCCTGGGTCCTGCAGGAAATGGCAACCCTTGTGCGGACAGGTGTGAGCAGGTGCATGCAAGCACCGGGCTCCCTTTCAGTCTGTGGGTGCTGCCAACGATGCGAGGAAAGGGCCACCCCGCTCCAGAGATGCGCAGGGGGAGAACATAAAGACTCCCGCCCCAGGGGCTCCGTTCCTCCCTCCGTCCTGGGGAGCAGTGCCGCTGGATGGAAAAGGGCCCCGGCCTGGTGCGGGATGGAGGCAAAGTGCTGAGTAACGCTGGCAGGAGGATCTCCACCGCACCTGCTCCTCCTCCCCCCCCCCCCCCGCCCCCCCCCCCCCCCCCCCCAGTGCCCCTAGCACCTTTGCACGGAGTCCCTGCTAATGTGCCAGGCTATGGCCCCTCGGTCATGCTGGCGGGGAAGTGCACCTGGAGGCCCCCAGGTCTGTTTGGCCACCTGGAGTGGCCCCTGCCCCTCCTGCAGAGAGCGCGATGCACCACAGGCTGTGAGGAGAATCCTCAGCCTGCAAAAGCCACGGCACGCATTTCAGAGCTGGCGCAGTGTCAGGAGTGATGTTTAGCCTGGTCACAAGGCTTGTGGCCTCTGGAACACTAACCCATGTGTGTCGGCACAGGCCTTTAGGTCATCATCAGTGGATGCGTCTTCTGGGGGATACAAGTCCCTTTGTCACTTTGGTTGACATGGGTTAAAGTGGATTTCCGTCTGGACATTTTGCATTACGGGGTGGGAGGTTGTGGTTTGCACCGCGCCTGGTCATCTGTGCAATGCTTCTGCTGCTCCGAGTCGCCCAGACAGCTTCAGCTGCGAGGGACGATATGCATGCAATTTCTAAACCATTAATTAAAGGAAGAAAGAGGAGGCAGGCTGCGTGCACCCAGGACATCCCATGTCTCGAGCACGGCCTTTGCTACCGCCTGGAATGGGGCAGGGGTTACGCAGGAGGTTGTGTGTGGTGCTTCTGCTCACTGCACTGGGACAGCGGCAATGGCAAGTTTCGGGGCGGAACAGAATTCCACTTCGTGCTGAAGGGCTGGATGCAGCCCTGCTGATTGCTGGATGCAGCCCCCAGTCCTTCCGTAGGCTCCAAAGTTCCCGATGGAGGTACTTGCTCTTCAGTTAGGGGCGCAGAAGGGTACTGGGGAGGGGGCTGGAAGGAAAGCTGCCCTTAGAAGAGGGAAGCCATGGGACCCTTTGACAGACTGTTTTGATCTGTTTCACATGACACGAACAACAGTCTGATCTGATTTTCCTTCAAAGATCAAAAGACAATTAGTAGAATCAATCGGCATGACGATTAAGGGCTGTGTCGTGTGTGCTTGCAGGAAGCCTCTTTGCTGCCAGTCTCTGCTATTAATTCAATTACTGTAATGTTGGCCAGTCTGCAGCTTTATATTGTTGTTATTATTACTCTCTTTAGTTAAGATTCTATGACCCTTTTGGGCAACTGTTTTTTTGGTGACCTTGAAAAGACAGAATTAAGAACCCTCATCTGATGGGTAGAATTCTTCGCATTGTTGTCACACAAATGCCCTTCTTGAAATAACACTGCATCTCTGAACTGGCCATCTCTTTTCTGAAATTGACAGTTTTCTGATTAAAAGTCGTCATTGTCTGCTCTCTCTCTGTGTATAAACCTTATGCAATGTGCATGCAGCTGAGTGTGTATGAGAGAGAGGGGGAGGGAGGGGGGAGGGAGAGAGGTACCAGCAGTTTTGTGTCACAGGAAAGAAATATTTTATGAATGCAAACCTAAGGGTGCTAGAGAATACATCCCTAATGAGCACAGAATGATTTACTTCTGAGTAAATATGCATAGGATTGCATAGTAAGGCACAAATGAAAGCGGTGGGGGTATGAAAAATGTTTGCACGCAATACAAGAGTGTGTATCCCCTCCCGGATCCAACATATGTTCACACATTTTCACTGACACGAACTGCCTGAGGGTCGAAGCCACAGAAATGCTCTCCGTACTGTCTAGCTGGAAGGGGTTGCCGAAGTCCAGTGGCCTCCATTCCGGTTTGCCGCCAGGAATCCCCTGCAGAGCTCCGGAGAGTAACCCCGGCGCGGCTGCTGCCCTTGGCTCGCGGCAGGGTGCGTCCCGCGCTTCAGAACTGCATGCCAAAACCTGCCGCCTGGACTCATCTTTCTGTTTTTCTGCTTACAGTTGTCATTGAAGATGACAGAATTGAGGATGTCCTCAAAAACATTTCGGAAAAACCGCCTCCAGGAGTTTAAATCACTTCAAAGAGACACTGAGTAAAAAGAGGGGAGAGAGAAATAATTTATCCTTTAACACATTTGTGGGCAAAAAAAAAAAAATAATAATAATAAGAAAAAAAAAGGAAAAACTGGAAAACAAAATGCACTTTGAAGTTCTTCATTGGCAGCCTGCAATCTACTTTGCAAAAACCCACAAATCGTATCTTAAAGAGCAGGCTGAGGGAGAAGAAGAGAGGCAAAAAGGTGGTTTTAACTGTGAGCAAAAAATAAAATCATCCCCAAACTAGAGGCACCACATTTTTAAAAAATCATACTAATTTGAAATGTTCCCGTAAGATGTCATCAGTCTAACTTACGGCTGGTGCCTTTTCCCCTGGACAATAATGTGCAGTTTTCAATCTGGATTTTTAAAAGTTCTTTAATGAACTGAGCAGCAGGTAAAATTACAACTGTATTTTCTCACCCCAGCAAGCATTGCTGGATCTCGTTGTTTTGCATAAACACTTGTTTACATGGTTAAACCTTGCAAAAACAATTCATATAATATGATCTGCATTTCCACTTTTTTTTTTAAGTCTGTATTCTTGGATGTTGGGGAGAGCGGGAAAAGAATGATCTATAATTGTAATTATAAATAAATATATATATTTAATTCTAGTTACCTTTTAAAATCTCAGCAGAATGTATGGAATCAAAACTTTTCTAAGGAAAGGATTATATGGATGAAGGATTCTCTTGGTTTTATTATGATTAATATTAGTATTTTCGAAAAAATAAATCGTAAAGCTGTTGCAGCATGCAGTTGCTCTCAAGTAAACAGAGAAATTTAATTTTATATGTGAAATGGGAGAAAACTGAAATACACGCATCGCTTTTTCTAATGATCACTAGCAAGCAGACTGCACTGTGGGAAACATCTGCTTTCTTTTTTACAATATCGTGACAGTTTATTCTTTTTCACAGAGTGTAATTCAATAAGTAAAAAGACAAAAAATAGCCACCACACCCCTTTCATAGGAGTGCCAAATACCTTGAAATGCTAGGAAGCATTTTTTCTTTTCTGTTTCTTTCTTAGTGATCTTGAGTCCATGTAAAGTTGCATTTTTGTACCTGAACAATTACCTTCTTTTAAGACTCTTTACTGACATATACCTGTATTGATATGTAAACATATATCTATTGATGGTCGACCTTTGGAATCTTCTGAAGTTTGTTTCTTCGGTCCTCTTCTTGTTCTGGACCCAGTTTGATTTTTTGTTTTGATTTGTTTTTTGCACGATGCACAACAGAGCAAATGAATTTTCTTTTTGCCTTTCTCTTTGCATAAACTTTGGAATGACCTTACATCGCCAGTCTGTTTTCTTTTCCTTATGCATATTCTGTATGTTGCACTCTAATTCCTCTACGCAGGGCTATTTCTGCAATGTATAATAAAAAGAACAGAAAAGACATGTGTGGCCACACGACTGTTCTTGCGTCCCATCTGTTCTTTTGGTGCCGTCTAGCTAGCTGGGAGAAGCTGACATTATCCTGGGCCCACGGGGTGGGTGGAGATTTGAACTCTGAACGCCACTCGAAGGTACAGCATCATTTTCCCCCCAGTGTTTTGACTTCCAGATCAAGGCACATCAGCATTATGAAGAGTCCTTATTAATTGCTTTGCCAGGAAACTGCTCAGCCTGCAAACTTCTCACACGTTGTAGGTAACATATTAATTCTACAGAAGAATGTTCTGTACAGAAGAGTAGTCATGCTGCTATTAATAATATTAATAAAAATGCTCCAAGGAGCATACCTCTTCCCACATCAAGGATCGGGGCCCGAGGCCTTCCACAGCCACCACTGAATCTTGCAATATTTCTCACCCTGGAGCCTACAGAGGGACTGGATGGGAGCCCTTGGTCCTTCTCAACCAACAGGGCCATCGACTCAAATCCAGAGCGTTCTGGCCCAGCTCCTGCTGAAAAAGCAACCCCAGTGGTGTGTGTAGGAGCGATCCAAACAAGACACATCTGTTTGTGTGCTGACAGTCCTAGTGGACAACCTGACACAAGAGGGTTCAGGGAGGCGTGTGTGTGTGTGGGGGGGGGGGGGGACGGGTGGGAATAGAAGCAAATTCTGGTAGCAGTTTGTGAAGTTAAAGGCTAGTAAAAGACTCCCCACTGACAACAGCAAGCAAACCATTCAACATTGCAGGAATATCTCTATAGAGAGAGGCAAGCATTTGAAGTGTGGGTGTTAAGCAGCATTGAACGATCGGCCAGGACTTCAAGTACCTTTCTACTCTTCTGGCTTTATGGTAGCATTGGAGACCTGGTCACTGCCAGGCAGGTGCATCTTTTCCATTCAGAAATGCAATTTCTAGAAACCGTGAAGAGAGCAGGCTGATCCTTGAAGGGAACGATGTATGAACATCTGAACAAGGCCCCCCCCCAGAGGCAAAGATAGAAACTGGAATGCAATTGATTGTGGGTAGCAACTGGAAGATGAGATGGGGGGACAGATTAAGATGCTGGACATCGCAGGGGTTCCTGGGTAATCTAGGACAGTCTCGAAACCTGGCGCCCTCCAGAAGTGTTGGACTACATAGAAACAGAGTGAGTCAGGAGGGGTCTCCCGGGCCATCTAGTCTGACCTCTGGCACCAGCTGGCTCCACTCACGACATGCCCACCACGTGGACGTCCAGCCTATCCTTGAACACCCGCACCGATGGGGCCTCAACCACCTCCGTGGAAGCCCATTCCAGACCCTCGGGGTCCCGACTGTCAGAAAGTGCTTCCTGGCATCCAAACTGAGCCTTGGTTCCCTGAGCTTAGCTCTGTTGGAGCACGTCCTGCCTTCCTCTGCAGGGGAGAACAGGTCTCTACCCACTACGACTCCCATCATCCTCACCCAGTGGCACCAGTGGAATCATGCAATATTAGAGCTGGAAATCTAACCGCACAGTGCCAGACTCCAAGATCAAGCATCCTTGACAGGTGGCTCTTGAAGGCCTCCAGTGAGGGAAGCCCGTGGCCTTCTCAGGTCATGGCTTCCATGGCCAAACTGTTCTGACAGGAAGTTCTTCCTGCTGTCCAGCCAGATCCTGTAACCTGAGCCTGTTGCTGTGTGTCCTGCACTCTGGGATGCCGAAGAAGAGATCCTGGCCTTCCCCTCGTGGCAGCCCTTCCAGGGCCTGAAGAGGGCTCTCCCAGCCTCCTCTTCCCGAGGCCGAACATGCCCAGCTCTCGGCTCTCCTAGGAGGGCTTTGTTTCCAGCCCCCCGACCATCTTTGCTGCCCTCCTCTGCACGTTTTCCAGTTTGGACACAACACTTTCCCCAGCACTGGACACGGTGGGACAGGTCGCCTTGAGACCTGGCATGCTCCTGCTGTCGAACCGTCTGCCCTGGCCCACCCGTAGCTGGCCTGCATGTGGGATTTGAACTCCCATAACTCCCAGCCACCGTGGCCGTTGGGAGTGGTGGTTGCAGGGCACAGGTTGGCCACCTGGGCTGGAAGTTAGGGGAGGCACCGCGTTGCAGTGCGTTGGTGGAGAGGAATGCTGTGTGGCCCCCGATTCTGAGCATTGCCAGGACACGTGCTGGCACGATTCAGGTGAACATTTGGTAGGAAGCTGGAGGTGTTTCACTGGTATTATCAGCAGAAATGCTCAGCGTCCAAAGGTGCGGCCGTGGAGAGAAGCCGGTGAGACTGACTAGCCTCTGCAGCGGGTTGCTCCTCTGAGTGGCACAGAAGAAACGGAGAGCTTCTGAAAGCCGCTGGCTGCAGGCCCATGCTGGAGACGGCTTCTCACCCAGGGCACTCCGCTTGCCTGCCCGTGGGGAATGGCTGATGGCTCGTGGCGTTGGGCTGGTGCCTAAAGATAAGGCGGAAGCAAAGAACTTCCCCTCTCGGAGGCCACGGAATGGGAGGAGCCTGCCCCAGCCCTTCCCCAAATGTGGGCCTATTCTCTGGATTCTGAGGAGGAAAGACGGGAAGCAATATTGGCCTTCTCACTCCTGTTATGGGGTCATTCACAGCGAGAACCAAAGATGCATTAGAAAGCGGAAATGATGGTGAAGCCGGGGGTAGAAGGCAGCTTCCCCAAAAGAGAAGAGGCTTCTGCTTAGGCGGACCACATGTCCACCTACCACAGCGTCCTGGATTGGATGCCACTGGTAAGGACCCCCAGGCAAGTCATGGGGGGTGGCGATCCCCTTCCGCTACTGCTCTGCAAAATTTGGCATGCTGTAGGGTCGGCAAAGGAAATCAGATGGGGCGGCTGGATGGCCCCCACCCCCTCCAGCCAGCCCACACTGGGAACAGAGCCATGTCCTCTGATTCCCTCCAGCCCCTGGTGGTCTCATTGGACAGACCAGCCATCCAACATGGCCACAGGGAGCTGGCACGGCGGGCAGTGCTGGGACACCTGCTTTGGCAAGGGGCGGTTTCGGCAAGGGGCGGCATAGAAATGTTATAATAATAATAATAATAATAATAATAATAATAATAATAATAATAATAATTGGCTGGGGCTTGCAGAGTTCCTGAAAGCAGCGACCTTTGTGGTCTTGGACGTAAGATTCCCCTAAAGGCTGCCCACCCACCTTTGGGATGGCAGGTGAAGCCTAGAGAGCTGCTCCGTGGCTGTGGAAAGGCTTCTCCCCCGGGAATCCGCCCAGTCCCCTTTCAAAGCCGTCCAAACGGTTAGCCATCACCATCCCCTGCAAGTGAATTCCCTAGTTTAGCCATGCCTTGGATGAAGCGATCCTTCGAATGACACTCTAGTATTATGGGAAAGGGGGGGGAAAGGGTCTCTCTCTCCATAACTGTGAACCTCTCTATCATGTCTCCCCTCATTGGCCCTTCTTCTCAGCTAAGCAGTTCAAGCGGTTTTAACCTGCAGGCCCTCAATTATGTTGCTCGTTCTTTCGTGCACTTTCTCCAGCCCTCCAATAGCCTCTTGTGCATGTGCATATTCCCAGGATGGTCCCCCGTGACCCTGAGAGCACAGTGGCACAGAGCTGGTTGCTCTCGACACACAGACAGCACCGAGTCCCACATCTCCCAGTGGCACCTCCAAACAACCTCACAGATGTGTGAAACGAAACTGGGGGCAAGCGAGTGGCGTGGGGTCATCCGGAACCAGCACCAGCCCTGCCGGGAGGAGCAGAGCCGTCGCAATCGGATCCCTCTTTCCCCAGTGTGTGGAGCAGGTCCAGAAGGTTCTCACTGGCATGAAAACCCCTGGAGAGATGAAAGGGAGAGATGCTGCCTCTCTGGAAATCCATCCAACAGGGCCACTGAGCTGGTTCTGTCCCCAAATCGGGACTGAAACCAGATTGGAATGGTTCTTGGTCCACCCCTGAAGCTGAACTGCCATCGGCCCAGGGAGCGCCTTACCCATAACGAGGGGTGCTTGCTGCTGCTGGTGGTTCTCACGCACCTGGAGGGGCTTTTTCAGGTGCAGACACACTGCTGTTCCTACCACGTCTAGGTTAGCCACCCTGCGTCCTGCAGGAAATCGCTTCACACCCCTTGTAGCCACCTGGTTAATCCTCCTGATGCGCTCAGACCAGGCGAGATGTGCTGCTGTACATGACCGTGAGACAAGCAAGTAAAACCATGAATTTCTGGACACTTCCCGCCCCCTCACTGTTTGCCGCTGCTGGGAGAATCGAGATCTTCCTTGGCCCACAGTTCTGAAAGCAGCCAGATGCTTCGGGGAGACGTGCCCCGAACTCACCACCTTGGGGAGTTCTGCAAAAGGCGGAAAAAAGAACCAGTTGAGCGCTTGAGTCATAACATTGAATGCAGCATGATGAAAGCAAAGAGTAGGCTGTGTCTCTGAGTGACAGGCAGAGCTGTTGAGTGGCAGCCATGGTGGGAAAGGCAGGCAAGCAGGAAGGAAGGCCGTGCGCTACAGGCTTTGCGATTAAAGATAGAACGCGGGCAGCACTCTTCCAATTCCACCGCCTCCATTGGAACTGTCCCCTCTGTAACTGGGTGGCCCTTAATTAAAGGAAGAGAGATTTTCTGGCCATGGGCAGAGTGCCGTTCTCTTGCCAGTCCATCCCTCCACACGGGGGCGGGGGGCATGCTTCCAGTTGGAAGGAGGCTGTGTGTAGGGCTGAGATGGAGGCCCCACATGCATTCCGGAAACGCTGAGCAGGGGGTCCAAGAAGCACTCCAGCAATTACGCATCTGCTCAGAAACAAGGTCCATTAAGTCCAATGACTCGGGTAAGCAGGCCCAGGGTTGCAGCCGCAAGCTTCCCAGGTTCGGGCAGGAGAGGAGAAGGGGCTTGTTCCACTCTGGAGCGGATCAGTGGCTCAGGGGGGCGCATTGGAGCGGAGTTTCCACGATCGAGCGGCCTGGGCGCGGCAGGACTTACCGTTGCGCACCTGCGCATGGCACCACTGGGGTGGGGAAGGCTGACCGTCTGGTGCCAGCAGGGGAAAAGCTGGA